AAAGCACAGTTTATGTTTTCTTTATTCACACGGAATGTTTCAAATTACTAAAATTTATCACTTTTTTTCACAGGAGGACATTTGATTAGTCTGTATGTTAGGAAACTTAAACTTCAAGAAGGTCTAAAAGTCATTCAACTTCTCTTTTATTAGAGCAGATTAATTTGCTCTCATATGCAGAGTGTTCCAAATCTGCTTACATAGACTCTCTTTGGCTACTTACCCTATGTGCGTACTTGTTGCCCTTGAGAAAGCCTCGGGGTATGATAAGTCATTGGATGCTTGTGCAGGTTAACTTTGGTTAAGATCAGTTAACTTGTAATTACTCTTCATATTTTAAAATACAAATATTTCTATGAAAATAAATGCATGTTCTGATCTTACTGCCGATTTTGTGCTGCTTTATTTAACTTATATATGTTAATGACTAATGTTATGACTAATTTATGGTCACTTTTTTGGATAGTGTTATTAGTAGGATTTTTTTCTCTTCTTTCCTTATATCCAATGGCTATCATCCTTTATAAATAAGTGTAAACAAATATGTAATTTAGTCTCACCAGAATGGAAAAATCTCACAAGTCCTTACTCAACTCCTCCCATTGAATTAGCACATGCTTAAACATAAGCATGTATTTGGTCCCCCTGATTTGGGCAGGTTGGGTTTCTTTGCTGAACTGAGCTTAACTCTAGTGCACATCTAAGTACTTTGCTCAGCTGAGGCCAGATTTCCTGATTCTTGCAGGATGTGTCATTGAAGAACTATTCATGATGATTCAGCCTGCACATCACAGACTCCCTGCTAGAGACAGAGGAGAGAGGGAAAACCACCAGTGGGTCTGAAGTGACCTTGGAGGTAACTAAACCCTTTTTGTCAGATATCCAGATTTCCACTAGAAACTTCTGGGTATCCACGAGAAAAGAGCTGGAAACCACTAAACTATTACATGTTTTCACATCTGTTATAGTGATGACACTATGCACAGCAACATTCACATACTGGAAAAAACAGGGATAAGATAGCGAGAAACTGAGTTATCCTATGCAATGTGTCAAATGACCATCACTAATTGCTAGGCTAATAAAGAACTAAGTTGTAAAACTGCAGAGCATTGAGAGTTACAGTCTGCTATCATACATGGCTTTTAAAAATAGACTTCAAAAAGCTGTAATTCATTCTTCTGTCAAGCAACTTGCATAAGAAATGGTTTTTACCATTTAAACAACATACCAAGCAACATCTATCTCGGAGACACTTACAAACTGTCAGGATTTTTATAAAATAATATATTTCAAGCTAGTATTCACCAAAATGAAATCTGTTTACAGAATGCAAAAAAAATATGATAGAACTATCAACTTTCTGTGTTGCAAAATACATCTGGTAAATCAATATGGATGTTAGGGCACCAGGCACTTTAAAAAATCAATATAATAAATAAATATGGGAGTTGAATAACAGTTTAACAGTGTGTGTACAGAGACATGATTCATCTTGACACAAATAACGCATGCTGGATAATCAACAGAGATGACATTCTTTAAAGCACTGAAGAAAGGTTGTGATTAAAGGACTGGTCTGGAAGTCAAAAATTATTTCCAGACTCTCTGACTGACTGGTCTAATGGCAGGTTTTAACCTTCTTATAAGTCAATTTCTATATTTGTAAGATTAGGACAATATAAAAACAGTATTTTGAGACTCTCAGGCATGCAAACTATTATTACAATTAATTATGGCTAGAAGGGGTACATTTTCCATTTATAGTCACATTTATGCACTGAGTTCTTCAGAAGCAATTACTGAATTACAGGGTTTTGGAAAGCTGCCAGGAGAACTGCATCAGGGAAGTTAAAACTGGTTCAGAGCCTGACACTTCTATTTCTTTCCTTCTTTTATTTCTTAAGAGCTTACAAGACTCCCAGCACTAACCTAAAGGCAAGGTGAAGAACACGGGAATAAATGAAACAAAAAGAGCCTAGTTTCTGATTAGCAGGAGAAGAAAAAAAGAATGCCAATACAGCAAGTATAAGCAGGTCAAACAGGCTGTAGGTAGTCAATACCGAAATTGCTTGTTACAAGTGCAGGCCTGGGAGAAAACTCAGATACCGGGTTTTCTTAAAATTCCATGGTCCATAAATCCACAAGATCAGTCTTATCATGACTTGAATTCAGTATCTAAAAAATACCAGGCACTAAGAGAAAGGGCATTCTATATGCTCTCCCAAACTCCTACTTCATGCAAAATCAGGTCTTTTTGGAACAAATCTACAGCTGACTTGAACACCTAGCAGCCTTGGAGAACCCCATTAGATCTTAGTAATAAATTTCATAGTTTGCAAGCTGTGGAGAGAAATCGTTCTTGGAAACTTTGTGAAAGAGTCCCAGGATCCAGAACACATATTCTGGATTTTGATTTGGATGCAGCTCATGGGAACAGGGAACAAAAAGTGAAGAGGGGCAGCAACAGGGCTAATAGTAAGGTATAACTTTTATTGAACTGTTTTAACACCGTAATGAAAAATTACCCATGCATAATGGGGGCGAATAAGAAGGGCAGGAGAGATGAAGGTCCTTCTGCCTGAGCCTTCTTCCTTCTTTCATCTACTCGATAAATATTAGCAGGCAGAATTCTATTCCCTTAATTCCCAGCCAGTCCAAGCAAACGTACTCACAGTCAGCTTCTGGAAATTTAGCAAGGCTTTGGTAAGTTTGCAAGGCTTCTCAGTGTCAACAACTGAAAGTAGCAGGGCTTCTAAGAGGAGTAAGTGTTAGGTTAGGCACTAACAAGCATGATCTCTGAGCAGACCAGTTCTTGTTGACTTTAGCACATGGAAGCCAGGGCGTTCAACCTTTGACATTTTCCTTTAACAAAAATGTCACTTTGCCTTAATCCGTAAGTAAGTCTAGCTTATCATCTACCAAACTGCTTGAGCAGAAGTCAGGCACCATGGATCACAAGTGCGATCTGATGGAGTGATATCAAGTCACTGCGTAATACTACCTTTTAAGACTGAGCATGCATAAACGATGAAATCTCTAAGTATGTTTAAAGAAGTTCTTTTTTATATATAATAGAAAAGAATTTAAGTGTAAGGATAAATTTTAAAGGTGTAAAGAACACAAAGAAGAGAAAGTAGAGTGGAATAATGGAAAAAATACGCAAATCAAAATAGTGAGATAGAGGGGAAAAAAGGTCGTTTTAAAAAATGGTGAGTTAGAGTATAAAAAGCTAGAAGCAGTATCACGGAACAGGGAGCTACAACACTTTAGGTTTTTTTTGTAATGAGCAGATTTAAATAAAGGTAGAGTTATATTTGTGACCCTAAAATCTGCCCTCCATATTCTTGCCCTTTAAATCTCTGTTGGAAGAGGCTACTTATATAGAATATTTACACTAGTAGTATTTTACACTAGTCTGTAACTGTTACATTTCATGTAAACAGAGCAGAAGGAAATGTTGTTTATTAAATGCCCACAGAGACACACTCTTTGCTATAAGGATTTTCCACGCTAGAGAGCATCAGGATGAAAGTCCAAGTAGAAGAGGATAGCAAGGTTAATGTATATATAGAAAGATTTATGAAGTAAACGACTTGAGAAATTGCTGACAGAGAGACTTTTCCAAATGCTGAATGCTGTCTGAGGAGACAGGCATGCAGGTGACCATATGAGGAGGAACTATCACAGGAAGGTGAGATGTTCAACAGAAAAAGTGGGAACAGAGGTGACAATACACACAGTCAGGCTATGTGAAAGCCTCCAGCGACAGGAAGACTGCACTTCCTGGTAAAACCTAAGAGTTTCAGAAGCAGATGTTAGTGCAGGAAGTGGAAAGGTTACTAATGCATCGCAGTCTTGGAAAGCAACATGTATGAGATTAAGGAGAATTAAACTCCTTAGAGTAGAACTAGCTGCTTCCCTCCCTGCATCACTCAGTCTAAATGTGTGTTCTGCCAGTTTCCCAACCTGCGTGTCCTTAGGGGAGAAGCAATTTTGGCAGAGCCACAATTCCTGACCATTACTCTATTTGCATGGCTGCAAAAACTCTTGTGCTCTAGGCTAGCTGGCCAAGAAACTCATTTCACAACAGAGGATCTGACTCGAATCTTCCACATTTCCTAGCCAGGCACAAGGCACTGCGGAAGCAAGTGTTTCTAGGAATATTATGGGTAATATCAAAATACCAGACTCATTAGTTTCGCCTTGTTTTTTCCCCTTAGATTGGGGAAAATGCTTTATTTTGCTAGAGTTTGGTAGAGTCTGATTTTCTGGCAATAAATAAGAACTTCAGCTGCTCCATAAAGCCTGGAAAGGAAATAAATAAAAATGGGTCTGTAAGAAACTCAAAGTGGCGGTAGAGGGAAAGGGCAGGGCATGACTTTTCCATTTAGCTAAAGAGCAGGATGGCATCACATAAGATGCTTAAGTCACTTAATAGCAGCACTCCTATTTTTATTATTTGTCCATTTATTTAGTTATTGAGACCTACAGGAACCATCCCACAAAGCACCACCGTCGGTAAACTGTAGGAAGGTGGCGAGCAGGAAAACCGCCCGCGGGGGCCGGTAATTAGTAAGCACGGAGCTGAGAGGCGTAGCGGGGCCGCCGCACAAAGGCAACGCAGACACGGGCGGCAGCAGCTCCCGCGCGGAGCGGAGCGGCGGCACCATCGCTCCCGCTCCAGCCCGGCGCCTCGCGGCCCCGGAGCGCCCGGGAAGTGGCAGAGGGCGGCCCGGGACGGAGCGGAGCGGAGGGCGCTTGAGCCGCTCCGGCTCCGCCGCCGCCCGGGCGGCCCGCGCAGGTGCTGGGCGCGCTAGGCCCGGGCTCAGGCTCGGCCCAGGCTCTGGGCCGGGCCCGGGCAGGCGCCGCCCGCTCTCCCAGGCTGCTCCGCGCCGCGGCGAGGGGAGGGGAAGCGGGAGGTGGAGCCGCTTTATCGAGAGCCCGAGTGGAAATTTTCTCCCCCCGCCGCCGCCGCTCAGTTGCCGGCTTCGCCGCCGAGGAGACGCCCGCCCGAGCCGCCCGTCTGTCCGTCCGCGTCTCGTCGCCCCCCCCCGCCGCCATGTCCAACTACATCCACGTCCCGCCCGGCTCCCCGGAGGTGCCCAAGCTGGACATCACGGTGAGCGAGCGGGAGGGGCCCGGCTACCGCCAGGGCGCCCTGCAGCTCCTGCGCCGCCTGCGGCCCCACTGGAGACCCGAGGAGGTGACGCTGCAGGTAAGGGTGTGCGGGGTGCGGCGGCGCGGGCCGCCATTGTGCGGGGGAGCCGCGGCCTCGCTTCCCTCCGCCGCGCTCCGCTCCCCTCCCCCGCTCGGCGGCTCCGCAGCCCCCTGCGCGGAGCCCCATTTGCTCGGCAGCGCGGCGGCGGGGCGGGGCGGCGCGGCGGGCACAGCATCCCCTGCCCCCGCGCCGCCTTCCTCCTCCTCTTTCCCGCTTCCTGCTCCCGCCGCTCCAACGTGGCTCCCCGGCGCCCGGGGAAGGAGGGCGGCAGCCGCGCGCCTCGCTTCCCCTCCGCCCTGGCGCGCGCCCCGTGGCGGTGCCGGCTTGAGGGGGCGAGGGCGGCGGGGGAAGGGGCTGAAGATGAGGTTGCCGTGAGGGTGTTAACCGGCTGGATGCCGAACGGGGGGGGGGGGGGGGGGGGGGGGTTCATAAAGCGCAGGGGGATCTTCTCCTCCTCCTCCTCCTCCTTTTCCTGCAGGGCACGGGCAGCCGGGGGAGGAGGAGGCGGCGGCCGGCGATGCGCCTCGTGCGCCGCCGTTGCGCGGCGGGTGGAGGGGGAGCGGCCGTTGAGGTAACGGCCGCGCGGTAACGGCCGCCGAGTAACGGCCGCCGAGGTAACGTTGTGCGGCCCTTGTGGCCTCTCCCGGCGCCTTCACGCGGAATAAATAAAACCGAAAAGCCTGACAGTCGCCTCATTTCATATTTATTTATTTATTTATTTTGTTCTGACGCCATCTCCTCGTAGCGTCCGCCCCGCTGGCGTCCTTGCTGGCGTGTTCCTTCTTAAAATCTGGCCTGTGTTCGCGAGTATCACGCCTGGCGCTCAGCTAGGTGAGGCAGTTACCGGTGCTTGTGATGAATCATCTGCCTGGGGGCCGGCTGCTTTTTTGCTTTTAGAGTATATATAACCCCGCCCCGTGCAAATCGTTAGTCAATTTAGTTGACAGAAACAGCAGCAGAGATGCAGCCTGTGTGTCTTTGAGCATTTTATTGTACGCCTTTATCTGTGTTAGTCAAAAGTTATTAATATGCAGAAATGTCTTATTTTAGGGGACTGGAGCTAAGCTGAAGAGAGGAGCTAACTTTTATAGAAAAACAAAGTGCATTGTGGCAGTGGAGCGTAAATTGATGGGAATTTTCTGAAGTTCCGTGATAGGGAAGGAATGTGGCGTGCCTAAATCCTATCAGTAAAATAGAAGCTCATATCTTCCTCCACATAATTTCCTTGAGGTCACAGGTGTAATTTATGTATGCTCCCAACACACTCCCAGCGTACACAGAATCATGGAATCATTATGGTTGGAAAAGACCTTCAAGATCATCGAGTCCAACCATAAGCCCATCAACACTATACCTGCTAATCCTCGTCCTTAAGAGCTTCATCTACATGTGAGACATTATTCCTCACTGAGGAAATGCCTTCCCTTGAGGCGCAGTGAGCATACCTTGCGCAGCATAAGCAGAGATGTTAATACATATATACATATATTTGCTTTTCTAGTTGTATGTTGAAGGTTGCTCTCAACAGGATGTTTCTTTCTCTCCTTTTTTTATACAGGAAAACTAATAAATGAAACTGAAAACTTTTCCTCTACAGAGGAGTGACCTTTTGGGGAAGTTAGAATAGGTTTAAAAAAAAATGCTACTTCCTTCTTCCACCCTCTTCTGAAAGAAGCAACTTGCAGAATAATAAAACTGATAAAATTTCTGTGGATCATGGGCTCTTCACTCTTCACTGGTTTTGCAATACTAAAGCAATAAAATACTGTCCATGATCAGGAATTTGTGTCTAAAATTTCCCGTAAGTTTGTTTTGACCAAAATCCTCTAGTCTTCTTACTCACTTTTTTTCTCTTCTGTGCCTTTTGTGCAACGAAGGAACGTGCAGGTCAGAAAACTCTTCATTAACTTTTTATTTTAAGTCTTATCTTGTAGTTAGTTACACACATACCATACAGAGTAAGATGCTAAAATACTGCTTTTCTTCTTTTGTTAAGATACAGGACAAACAGAAGGTCTACTTTGAATTTTCCTCATGTCTGTTTCCTCGGGTGTATATATTTAGGAGGGGGATGAAAATGAGAATCATGCATTGTGTGGAAAACACGCTTGACTAATCTGAAACAGCAGCACTAGAGCAAAGTAGATTAAGAACCTTGTTAGGCAGAAAGAACTGCTTATGAACGTGGACTTCTTCTGTTGAACTCTGCACTTAGGTACCTTTGCTCTTAGTACCTCTTGTTTCCAACAGTTAGAAGGAAAATGAAGAGTTTGACTTTTATAAGTTAATTAACTTACCTTGTAAAAATGTGCTATGCTGTCTATGTGGCATCTTGTTTAGTCAGCGAAATAGTTCTGAAACTATGTAGTTAAAAATGCTTGTGGTCAATCTTCACTTCTTACAAGATTTTTAAGTTAAAGTATATCTACATATTAAATATTTTTTCTTTTTCTTTTTTTTTTTTTATTATGATATAAGATTAACCTGTAGGACAAAGGGTTAAAAACCTTCAAACTTAAATTAGCATTTTACTGCAGCACTTATTAGAAACCCCGTGGAATTCCTGTTGGCTAATACTTGTTGAATCATAACCAGGATTATTGTAGCTTATCTCCTCCATCTGTAAGTGTATGTGATTATTATCACTACAAAAGTGTATAGGCACTCACATTATACTGGTAAGGAGGGGAAAATGCACTACCTAAATACTCATCTTCATGTAGTTACTTTATGTGATTTTTGTCTAAGGATGTACAAGGAACAATGTAGAACTCTGTTCTATTTTTACTTCTTACAGTTTTGAGGTTTGCTTTCTTCTGTTTTGCAGTAGTACCAACCAATATACTAAAGAATTTTGCAGTAGGGAGTTGTGGTCTGTGCCATATGATCTTAGCCACAGGATAATAGACTTAATTTTGTTTGGAATGAGTCTCTGAAGGCCTCTATTCCAAACTCGTGCTCCAGGCTCACTGCTTGCTTAACTTAGAAGCTGACTGCAGTGAAATGCATGGAGAATTTTTTACGGTTTTCATAAAAATAGATACTCTTCTGAACTCTGTTCATTGTTCGACCCTGTTCTGGATTAGTGGGCAGTTTACACTGTGACAGTGGACATTCCAGAATATTCTGGCCATTTTATTATTAACTGGATAAGATAGAAAACCTTTTATTAGTTCTTAATGTCATGAAAAGGTTTAATCAGCCTTCTTAACATAAGAATGCAATAACAGCTTGCAACCTTTGTTGCCTATCATGATTAAATATGTGTATAATATTGCATATTTATATGTATATTAATATCATATGAATATGTATATCACTGTGTGTATGTATGTGTGTATATGTGTGTCACATATATCACATATACACACATATATACACATATAAAAATATATCATGTATAGGTATAAAATTATATACGTTGTATATTAAAAATTAATCTTTTTCTGTAGTAGTACCTGCAGAAAGATCAGTGTGTGGTTTTAGTATTGAAATATGTCAGTAGTACTGGATTGCTTTCACCTGTGCAAACATGCAGGATTCTCTTATGCTATGACCTATTCCATATCTTGTAAATCTGCTTATAATGAAGAATTCCTTAAAGTTCAGTATATTACTGCGCACCTGTTGCTTGGTAGTTCAGTGTTACAAACCAGGAAAAAACCTTTTGTATTTCTCTTTTGAAGTGTTCTTTAATGCTTAACATGGAGAATAAGTATGGCTGCTCTTACTAATGAAGAGGCTTAACATTAGTTACTTAAACATTGATTGTTTGGATTAGCTGGATACCTTTAGTGCCTAAAATTCAGCTACAAATCTAAAATGATACAAATGACATTTTAGAAAACCCCAAAAGAGTTTTGTAAAGGAGATGAAAATCTTCAGTACAACTCCCCCCACACCCCCCTCACTCCTTGCAAACCCTTCTCTAGAACTGTGTTCTAGACTGTCTCCAAATAAGTCTGTAAGGCCTTTTATCCCCTAGTGCTCTTTGTTACCAAGATATACATGTTGACCTGTCATAATATTCTTCATTGTTTTATGTGACTATAAAATCTATTGCGGCTTTTTACTGTTCTTTACAAGAACTTAACTCCTGTAGCTTTGATTGTGACCACACAAGAGTGATTTTTTTTTTTCCCCTAATGTGCATCTTGGTGTTCTTTTTCTTTGCATGATTTGTGGCAAGGTGCAGATTAATCTCATAATCTCACTTAAAATTGAAGTAACTTTTTATTTTGCATCTTAATATTAAGATACACACACATTAAGATACAAAACACATTTCACAAGAGTTTTTTTAATCACTTAGCCTTTTTTTTTTAAGGACACAGTGACTTTCAGTAGCGAAAGCAGTTACTACTAAATGGCAAGGACTGTGATTTCAATATGCGAGTCTGTAATTTAATTGCAGATAAACATGCTGAAGTAAAAGTAGAAAATTGCTGAATGGAAGCTAAATTACAGTTTTTGAACAGACTGCTTTGCTGCCGTGTTGTGAAAAAGCTACTCTCTAAAGCCTGCCTTGAATGCAGTGTCACAGTGACTGGGAAACCTGGGCAGTATTAAATGTCCCTTGAGTCTGGCCAGCTTCTCTCTGCTGGCTACCTGCGGAAGCTCGATGGTCTCCTCTTGCAAGGGAGGTTTCGTGATATGGCAGGGTGCGGCAGCCGGCGGACGCGCTGTGAAGTCTTGGGCAGCCGCATGCCACGTCACTGTGCGTGGTGTCACCCGCTTGCGTGCACACACGGGTGTGTGCCAGAGGCGTCCTGCTGCCTTCGATCTCCGATCCTCATCGGGGCTGATCAATAGGTGCTCAGGCACAGCTTGTGACCTGGCTATCTAATGGCATAGAGCCAGTGCTACAGCCAGCTCGCCTTTCACTGTTACAAGTCTATCTTGGATTTTGTTTTAAAAACACATTTCATTTTCACATGACTTCTAAAAGAAGCAGCAGCAAATTGAGCCTTGGAGTTGTTGGAATAAAATTTTAGACT